GGCAGTTGTCTCCCAAGCCGCCGCCTGATTTTCCGCCGAGTCGTGGACCAGATCCTCCGGATATGGCCCAAGCTCCGTCAGGAACCTCTCAGGGTCCATCAGTCGCCTGGGACGGAACCATCTAGGCGGTTCCGTCTCCCTGCGGCGAGGGGGAGCGGTCTGGAAGTCCATCCTTAGGAGAGAATGATCTGACCATGACCAGCACCATTGCAAGTTTGATCAGTCACTGAAGGTCATAACATGAGGATGATCTGCACTATTATATTTCCCCCGAGTACTCAAGTCTTATTTCATATAACAAAGTAGACACAAGCAACTGTTATACACAGCCATTTTAGTTTCTTTTGACAAAAAAAATCATTCCTAGTAACAAGCCATCTACTCACTACCCTTCCACTGGAATTTGCAGATCTAAAAATTTCTAATGGTAGTAGTATCTTCTAATTTCCTCCCACTGAGGTAGATGGTTTCCTTTAAGCTCTAAATGCTGCCAATTTAAAACCTTGTCCTACTTAAATAATACCACATAATCTTTCAGATTTTTTCCTACACCAAATGAAAATATGTACACTCCAGAGGAACAGAAGATAGTAGATCAACAAAGATTGGGTTATATATATTGGGAAAAAGGTAAGCAAGAGAGAGAGAGAGAGCTGTGTAACTTGATCATGGGGATGTTGTATTTCAGCCATTAGTATACTATTCTAAGACAATAAGAGAAGGAAATATGAAAAATCTAGGTCATCCTCAATTAATAATAAATCAAGGAGCCCTGGTTGGGCAGTGGTTAGAATGCAGTATTGCAGGCTAACTCTGCCCAGTCTGGAGTTCGATCCTGATTGACTCAAGGATGACTCAGCCTTTCATCTTTCTGAAATCAGTAAATGAGGATCCAAATTGTTGGTGGGAATATGCTGACATTATAAACTGCTCGTGTGTGTGTGTGTGTGTGTGTGTGTGTGTGTTTAAGTGCTATTGCTATTGTTATTGTTAATAATTCCAATGAATATTTCAAATTAGAAACTTACCTGAAATAAAAATTACTGGAGAGGTCCACATTCTGAAAAATTCGGAGGTATCTACAGAAAAAAACCCAAAAGATAATAAAAGATATTTTATGCAGAAAGAATATGCTGTCTTTGGCACTCTCTATCAAAACCTTTTGTACTACTATATCAAATAACATCCTTTATTATGGTCAATCATCTGTATGGTATGGTAAATACTGTATGGTAAATACAGTTCGTAACAATATTACAGAGGGCACAGGGAATGAGATAAAGATAGGTGAGTAAATTACACACACAAAAAGGAGAGGAAAAGGAAAACTATGTAGAACAAGAGTAGCAGACTGTACTTAAAGTAAGGCAGCAAAAATAATACTTCACTATTAAGTACAAGCTATATTTATATATGATGGTCTATAGCAGTGGTGGCGAACCTATGGCACGGATGCCAGAGGCGGCACTCAGAGCCTTCTCTGTGGGCACGCGCACTATTGCCCCAGTCCTAGGCCTTCAGCTGGGTTTTATAAAACCTTTTCACTTTAGGCCTCCGCCGCCGTGTGCAAAAAAAAAAAAAAGGGTTCAATCAGCAATTTCAACTTCTTGCAGGAAAAAAAAGATCTTGCAAAGTTGGAACTGATTGATTGAACTTTTTACTCCCACCTGGTCTGCCGTTACCACTGCAGCCACGCCCACCCAATGGGCCACGCCCACCCAATGGGCCACACCCATCCGGCATTCGACGATGCATAAGTGGGTTTTGGGTTGCAATTTGGGCACTCAGTCTCTAAAAGGTTCGCCATCACTAGTCTATAGGGTATTAAATAGTAATATATTGAAATTTAGATAAACAAAATGTGGTGACAAAATGTAGAAGCATACACTAAAATAATAAAATTCTATCTGGAATACATTAAGCATAATTGATGATGTTTACTTAATAGCTACTTAATTGTTTATCATTATCACAATTTTGGGTTATATAAGATGAGAAGAAAATGAAAGAGAAGGAAAAGAAAAATACAGCAGTCCAAGGACACTAACTTATCAGGTTAAGTCTGAAGATAATTTTTGCCTAGTTTCAACTGTTGCAGATATAAATTCAGCTACTATGTTAGTGATATCATGATTTGAGACTGAAAGAGGTAATGGATATAGAACTTGTCCATTCCGCTCAGCACTCATAGTAAAATGGGAGTTATAATTATACAGAAGTTACAGTAAACAAGGACATATTGGATTGTTTCAATCTCCCTGGCAATGTAAGGGCATGTACACAGGGATGTAGGGTTGTTGGCATGTGTTAACTAAAACTTTAGTTTTTATTCATTAACTTGTCAATGACTTAATTTACATTTCTGCTTTCTGAGTTCAAAGCGTTTCCTCTTCTATAAGAATGAAGATGCCATAACAATAACTTTCTTTAGCAAGAAAATATTATCGTAAGAATAGCAGTTGAATTAAAATAGATCTTTATCTCTTATAAAGTATATGGTCTTTCACAAAACTTATATTTAGCATTACACCTTGCCAAGTAGACAATCTACTGTAGTTCTGTTCCTAAATCCTAACCCGCTACTTCTATATAATTTGGGGATTATATAAAATGAGATTATATAAAATGAGAGGGTCACTCCAGTATCCATAAAACAAAATACCTTTTGTTACAAGAACCAAGTTCTTAATCCATAGATACTTCCATAACAGAACTGCTAGTAATTAACGTAAGAGTCTCATATTAATGCACACCAAATACCAATGAATTACACAAAGTCATAGACTTGGATGGGCCCATATAGGTCCCTAAATCCAAACTTCTGCAGAAATCCAAATTAAAGTATCCCAAAAGATTTCTGTATCCTTCCATTTAAATACACATAGTGAAGGGCAGCCTTCTAACTAACAGGTTATATCTTCCATGTGACATTGTTTCAAGTATTTGAAGAATACTATCATATCTTACCTCTCTTTTCAAAATTAAACATATTAACATAGTCCAGCAGCAAGAATCTAGAAGCAAGTCTAAAGTTTGAATTTTGCTCATTAATTCAAGCTAAAGGGAGAAAATTTAGAGCTTCTAATGGCTGTATTGGTTATGTACATCCTCTGAAAATCATATTGCAGAAACATTTATTTCTAATACTGAGCGTGACACTGGTAAGGAAGAGAAGCAATAAATCATACAACCTACACCAAAGCTACTTGCTGGGGGGAGTTTTTTCAAAAGGTTTCCCCCTCTCTTTCCCAATGCTCTTGCTCAGGTTTGCTGGTTTTTTGCTGTCATTAACTACTGACATTAATTGCTCACCACATGCAGTTTGTTCAGCCTGATCAACTCAGTATGAAAATTAAGTGCCATGCTCTGCCTCTATTTTTTTATGAGCTATCATAAGATGGCGCCCAAGTTTCTAATCCTACAGGTATAAAGACTCTCTTGATCCAAGCTTTATTTAAGTTGTTTTTTGGACAGTAATATGGAAGTGGTTTACATTACTTTCTTTTTCTAGTTTAGCCAATGGCTTTTTAAGATCAGCTAAGGTAAGCAGTATATGGTTATCGTATCTTGGTCCCTGTTATCATAAAGCTAAATGGAGACTAAAAATTACCTTGCTTCATCAGGATGACTCACTCGCACAGAGTCATTTGGAATGTAGATCATATTTGTATCTTCTATTTTATATACTGCATGTCCTCCAATATCTGCCATCTTTCTCCTCTTTGTAATTAGCACAATGTAATAACCTTCTAAGAATCTGACAAAACCTGCAAGAAACAGAATAAATTACATACCATTTGTATCTGTCACTTGATTCACTACACTACCAGAAGGCTAAAAAACAATCACAAATTCTGTCAAGGTTGCAATAATTATTTGTATTTCTGGCACCTTATAACACTAGAGATTGGGAGGGGGGGAAACCTGTCATTCCTGAATAAATATTTAATCTACAGTATTTTGCTAAAGTAACCTCCTTTTCCTATTAAATTATACATGAAATAAGTAATGAATATAAATTGAAAAGTATTTTTCAACATGGCTGTTCACTTCATCTCTTTTGAAAAATTATGTATTGCATTCTCAAAGCATTATTTCATCAAATCAATGCCTGGGGTGAACTGAGGAAAATGAAATATCCCATGGAGATAAAATCTAAGTAAAGAGTTAACTGAACATTTCTGTATAAAGAACACAAGGTAGAAGGATAAAAAAGCTGGAAACAACAGAAAGGAAAGAGGCAATTAACGAACAGGGAAAGGAAAGGAAAGGAAAGGAAAGGAAAGGAAAGGAAAGGAAAGGAAAGGAAAGGAAAGGAAAGGAAAAAAATTGCATATACAAAAGGAGAGACATTGATCTCTGTGGAAAAGTATCATTCTGGAAATAAGCACAGTGCTCTACTTCTTTAAACCTATGTTTTATACATGTGTGTGTAATATTATATATATAATACATATAATGTATTAAATACATTTTAATTGTCCAGCTAAGTAAATGAGAAAGCATAATTAAACTATTAGGAAGAGTTGGTACAAGAGGAGATAATGTTAGTATAAGAACACTTGATTTGTCATTTTAAATTATATTTTACCCACCCATACCCATACCCACCCACCAAATAAACTCAGAAGTATACCACCCCTAACCAGATAAATCTAATTTCACATGCTTCCATTAATACCTGACACTACAAAGTCAGATATACATTGTTGTTTTTAGCCTCCATCTGAAACAACTGTTCAGCACTGCAATATATGGTATATTTCCTAGCAAATCCAGACTATTAGCCTTTCCCATAATGAAAATTTTCAATCTACAATATTTGACATGACACATCAAATTAACTTTTCACTCCTTCAATCTATCACAGTTATCAATCAAGAATTCTGCCAAATGACCTTTTATTGTGATTCTACAAAGAAGGATTTATAGCTACCTGTCTATTTAGACAGTCATTCTGTATACTGTAATAATTGAAAACGGTATGATGCTCAATTTCACCGCAAGTGTTGCAGCCAAGTACTTCAATGTGAAACTGTGTGCATTCTAAAAGAGGTTGGTTTTTCCCCCCCCATCAGCCTGTTTCAAATGCTTCTAATAAAGAAGCACCAGACAATTGGACTTTTTCAATGGTGGCACTATTTTCAGTGGAACACCTTTCTTATATACTCAATTGGGATGTAATTCATAATGCTGCATATAGAGAAAGCAAATAGGTGCAACAGATTTTTTCCTGTCATCTCTCTACAACTTCACTACTCCTACTTCTATCCTAAAACATATCCCATGAGGATCAGGAGTACTCCCACAAACTGTGAATTGTTTTCTCTTTGTTGCAGGACAATAGATTTCAAATGTGAGGGGTATCATCAAAGCTTGCCAAATGTTATGAAAAATGCAAATAATATAATAGGCCAGTGATGGCGAACCTTTTAGAGACTGAGTGCCCAAACTGCAACCCAAAACCCACTTATGCATTGTTGAGTGCCGGGTGGGTGTGGCCCATTGGCTGGGGGTGGCCAATTGGGTGGGCGTGACCAATTGGGTGGGCATGGCTGCGGTGGTAATGGCAGACTGGGTGGGACTAAAAAGTTCAATCAATCAATTTCAACTTTGCAAGATCTTTTTTTTTCCTGCGAGAAGTTGAAATTGACTGATTGAAACTTTTTTTTTTTTTGCACATGGTGGCAGAGGCCTAAAGCGAAAAGGTTTTATAAAACCCAGCTGAAGGCCTAGGACTGGGGCGACGGCGCGTGTGCCCACAGAGAGGGCTCTGAGTGCCGCCTCTGGCACCCGTGCCATAGGTTCACCACCACTGTAATAGGCCATGCAGGCCTATGAGATGGTAGACAAGCACACTCAGTGGCTGGATGGTGACCTGGCCCAATCTGAAGATTATTTAAAACAGGTTCTGTCCATTTTCAGGTTCTGGGAGTTTAAGTCTGTACATATAAAAGTGGCTAAGGTTGAGAAACACTGATCTAAAGACTAATTTGAAGACAGAGACTTTGAAAGCTCTGTTTAAAAAAAAACAGGAAAAGGGAAGAATTTCAAAGGATAAGAAAAATACTCAAGGTTGAGACCAGAGTTCATCTGAGGAAGATGCTGCAATAAACAAAGATCTGACTAGTTGATATTACCCTATCAGTTCATTCTTCCAATATCTTGGCCATGCCAATAGGTCCCATTAATTCCACAAAATACTTGTTCCACCAAATGTTTTTATGTAGGAATGACTGGCTGTGGCACACCTGATTGTCCAAAATTGAGCAGTTCTGCCTTGCTCGGGTGAATCTCACATCAAACTCAAAGGGAAATATTACTGCGCTTTGTATGAAGTAGAAATTATGTATAAATGTGTGAAATAAGTCGAATATAGTTGTATAGTACGATATTTTTAATAGCTATGCATTCCAGCTGTGTACTGGTATTTCTGCTACCATATGGAACGCTGTGAAAATTGCCTATGGCCTTTTATGTGAAGATGACAACATTTGTCATAAGCAATGTAATCACCTTGGGAAGCATCCAACAACATCATTTCTCAAGTGGAGTGATATTTTTTCTCTTCTCCATTTCACGGTGTACCCTCTAAAGTTACTTTAGAGATTTGGGATGCATAGAAAGCAATGGAGGTCAGAGGGAAGGTAAAGCCTTATTGTCTGAACAGAAACAGAACTGAATAATTTTGGATGCAGCCTTTTGAGCTGCAGGTGAAATTGCGTAAGCCACTTTGAAGCTGGAATTTCCATTTGCACAACACTGGATTCTGCTCAAGGAGGAGGTTCTGATTTTGAATGTGCAAATGTTGCTCCTCTGGAAGTGAGCTTACAAAGTAATCAATACTTTAAAAGACAGAACAAATCTGGTGTCCTGGCTCCGATAGATGAAACCCATCAAAAGAACTTCAAGGCAAAAATTCTTCCTCAAAGAACATTTTATTCAGTAAACAAAGTATCGGCACTACATAGTTGAACCCAAAACTAGATTCCCTTCCCCCAGATACAAAGTAACAAATTGCAATTCCCACCCCCCAAGAAGCAGTCATAAATCACGTTCTCCAATTAGCCTGAAAGTGGGCTTTCTCCCCAGCTCCTCAGCCCGCCAAAACGTTATCAGTTCGTCCTTGGGTTCCCACAGAGCAGTGTTATTATTATGGCTAGCTGAGCTCAAGCATTCACCCCAACCCCCCTTCTGCACCTGATTTCTAAATAGAAGAAAAAGCATGTTAAAAGCAAAGAGAAAATGGCTACGATTTTCATCAGTTGTCAGAGTGGAAACATCCAATGTTTACAGCATTGACGTCTATATTGGATTAGGGTGGGTCACATGTAAAGTTGTTTCTATGCAGAGCAGCCTTTGGACTTCATGCTGGCCTCACTGAAATTGCACACTCCTTCCTAGTAATAAGCAATACTTACTTATTGTTAGACGTTAACTAGAAGACGGATAAGATATCAATAATAATGATGATGATGATGATGATGATGATGATGATGATGATAATAATAATAATAATAATAATAATAATAATAATAATAATAATAATAAAAGTTGGAAGGGACCTTGGAGGTCATCTAGTCCAACCGCCTGCTCAGGCAGGAAACCCTATACCATTTCGGACAAATGGCTGTCCAGTCTCTTCTTAAAAACTTCCAGTGTTGGAGCATTCATCGCTTCTGGAGGCAGGTTGTTCCACTGGTTAATTGTTCTAACTGTCAGGAAGTTTCTCCTTAGTTCTAGGTTGCTTCTCTCCTTGATTAGTTTCCATCCGTTGCTTCTTGTCCTGCCTTCAGGCACTTTGGAGAATAGCTTGACTCCCTCTTCTTTGTGGCAGCCCCTGAGATATTGGAACAGTGCTATCATGTCCCCCCTCGTCCTTTTCTTCATTAAACTAGACATACCCAATTCCAGCAACCATTCCTTATATGATTTAGCCTCCAATCCCCTAATCATCTTTGTTCCTCTTCTCTGTACTCTTTCTAGAGTCTCGACATATTTTTTTTACATTGTGGTGATCAAAACTGGATGCAGTATTCCAAGTGTGGCCTTACCAAGGCATTGTAAAGTGGTATTAATACTTCACGTGATCTTGATTCTATCCCTCTGTTAAAGCAGCCTAGCACTGTGTTCGCTTTTTTGGCAGCTGCAGCACACTGCTGGCTCATATTTAAGTGATTGTCCACTAGGACTCCAAGATCCCTCTCACAGTTATTACTATTGAGCAAGGTACCACCTATACTATACCTGTACATTTCGTTTTTCTTGCCTAAATGTAGAACCTTTCTTTTTTCACCATTGAATTTCATTTTGTTAGATAACGCCCAGTGTTCAAGTCTGTCCAGACCCTCCTGTATCTTAAGCCTATCTTCTGGAGTGCTGGCTATTCCTGCCAGCTTGGTATCGTCTGCAAATTTGATGAGTTCCCCATCTATCCCCTTGTCCAAATCGTTGATGATGTTGAAGAGCACTGAGCCTAGAACAGAGCCCTGGGGCACCCCACTACACACTTCCTTCCATGTAGATGCAGTTCCATTGAAGACCACACGCTGAGTGTGGCCGGTCAGCCAGCTACGAATCCATCTGGTGGTGATGCTGTCTAACCCACATTTTTCTATCTTATCAAGTAGTAGGTTGTGATCTACCTTATCAAATGCTTTACTGAAGTCCAAGTAAATTATATCCACAGCATTCCTCTGGTCCACTAATTTTGTCACTTGGTCAAAGAATGGAATAAGATTTGTCTGGCATGATCTGTTTTTAACAA